AATATATAAATGGCTGTGTGTGTGTGTGTGTGTGTGTGTGTCTGTCTGTCTGTCTGTCTGTCTGTCTGTCTGTCTGTCTGTCTGTCTGTCTGTCTGTCTGTTCGTTCCAGCATCACTCTGGAACATCTTGAGCAATTTCAACCAAACCTGATACACAGATGATTTACTCTCTGGAAAAAAATACTGTGGGGGTAAGACACCCCTAACAGCCCTCGGGGTGTGTGTTCTGTTAAGATATAGCCTATTGTGCCTAATGGCTTCTACTGTACTGCGTAAAATGGCTTCTACTGTACTGTGCAGTGGAGTTGCCATGGTAACGGCTTCACAGTATGTCACAAGGGGGCACCAACATTAGAAATTACATTTTCCGCTGATAAATAAATACCCGGGCAACGCTGGGTTATCAACTAGTAGTAAAAAAGGAACATAGACTAAAAGCACTTACTTAGGAAGTATCACATTTAGAGTTCCAATTGGCAATATTTCCATCGATTTCCCCCAGAATTTGTTTTTCCATCTAATATCTAAATAGAAGAAATTTTTATAAAGAAGCAAAATGCAATACACATTTATTCATTTATACACATATCATGTAAGCTAATACATCTTGTTCTAAACAGATCAATAGCTAATCCAGAGGCAGAAAACTGTTGATTTCTAATTTCTCAATGGAAAATATATAATAAAAAAATAAATAAATAACAATTGCCCTTTGCTAGTATTGTAACTGTTTAACTACATTTCAACAAAGGAATTGTATAACATTTAATTTTCTTTTTTAATTGAAATTTGATTCATCCACTTGTAACTCAAATATATACCTTGCCAAAACACAAAATTCTTTGATTCACAGTGACAGGCAGAAATGGGTGGGTGATGGCTAACCTGAAAAAAAAATTATATAGAAGTAATTGGACAACAAAATCTACACAAGATTATTATGTTCATCACCCTTTGAAAAACAATCTACGCAACTATGCAAAAAACAATTAATACAAAGCTGAATTCTGCCATGTTGAATGTTAGCTAATATTGCAAAAACAAATATTGTTTTAAAACAAATCTAGGGATCGTCTCGACAGCACTTCATAAATCAAGATGAAATGTTTTAAACAACTCTCCTTCCTCCCCAAAATTAAAGTCATATGGATAATATTTAACTACCTTGATTACAGCAGATCATACCTGCTCTGAGAAAAATCGAAATCCTTTGTCTTCCCTGATACACTCGTAAGTCTCACCAAGTAGAGGGTTAAAAGGCTTGCTTCCTGCTCTGTAATAAGTGGAAGCATATCCTGAAGTTGCAAAGGCAGCAATAAGGACCTAATTAGAACAAAAAACAAAAACAAAAAACAATATTTAAGAAAACAATTCTGAAAGAGACTGGCTTAATACTCTTATTCTTTGACATGCTTTTAAATGCAGGAAATAAAAATATAAGAATATTATATTTTGAAGACTTAAGAGGAAGACGGGACGGACACTGAATCTACATTGTATATCTATTTATGTATAATGTAATATATAATGTAATATTGCACTTACATAGACACAAAGTTATGTGGAAAACCAAAAGAGGAAATGTCAAGGTGAGAATCTGCATCTGAAGAAAATACAGTGGCCATATTCATTTGTTGTGGGGAATAAGCTTATTATAGCAATACCAATAGCAGTTAGACTTATATACCGCTTCATAGGGCTTTCAGCCCTCTCTAAGCGGTTTACAGAGTCAGCATATATTGCCCCCACAATCTGGGTC